CTGTGCTTCGTTCAGGGTACGTATTGCTATGGGCCCATTAGATCAGTTGGTTAGACAGACGTGCCAATAGCATAAAAGGTCGTGCAGGTTAAATCACCAGGGGCCAAGGTAATTTATGATTTTGATTTATGACGTCTAATTAGGCCGAAATATTTTAAAATGACTTCACATCGACTGTTTCCGCAACGCTCAATAGAATTCATGCAAAATGAAAAAATCTCTGAGATTGCCAATGTGTACTCTTCCACGATACGTTGCACGGAATTTGGCAACCGCGTCCAGTAGCTCAGTTGGTTGAGCGTCGTGCTAATAACGCAGGGTGTGGAGCTCCGATCCCTATGGGCCAGGTTCATTTATAATTTGGAATAATGGCATCTAATTATGCCAAGCCTATTTGGAAGGTGGCTTCATCGACAGTTTCTGCCGCTCAATATAGATTCAAATAAAATAGTTAAAGATGATATCTCTTTGTACGTTTCACGGATTTCAACCTGCCACTTCCTCCAAGGATAAGTAACTCCAGTTTGGTCAGAGCGTCATGCTATCTTGCCGAGGTCGTGGGTTCGATCCCATGCAGGCCAAGATAATTTATGATTTTGGGATAATGACGTCAAATTAGGCCAAGAAATATTTTAAGAGTGACAGCTTCATCGGCTTCTTTCACCAACATCAATAAGAATTCCATGCAAAATGAAAAAAAAGAATATCTCTGTTTATTGTAATGCTATTAACGCAGATGTTGACGAAGTTTGAAGCGGCCACGAGCCTTAGTCCATGTTGGAGCGCTTAATAACGACCGAAGGTCGGTGATTGCGATCCTCTCATGGGCCTAGGTCTGCTATAGGTAATTTTGAGAATGTACGTGACCTCTAGGCGCCACAATATTTTAAGAGTGACTTCATGACTTTTCCAACGCTCAATAGAGATTCATGCAATGCAAACAGAAAAAATCTCTGATATGTACAGTTTATAGTACCGCAATATGTTGATGCGGACATTGGCTGCCTCATCTGAATATTAGCTCAGTTGGTTAGAGCGTCTGTGCTAATAACTGCGAAGTCGTAGGTTCGATCCCCATGGGCCAGGTTCATAATATTTTTGAATAATGGACATCTAATTATGCCAAATTATTTTTAAAGTGAGCTTCAAGTAGTTCGTTCGACGTTTCAGCAAAGAATACGTCTCAATATAGATAATAAATAGTAAGTCTTAGGTATTCCTCGTAAAAAGTTTACGGATTTGAAGCTACCTCATCGAGCCCTATTAGCTCAGTGGTTAGAGCGTCGTGCTAATAACGCGAAGAGATCGTGGTTCGATCCCCCTGGTTCCAAGGTCATAAATGAATTTTTTTGGATAATGAATCTAATTGTGCAAACTATTTTAAAGTGGTCAAAGAAGTTTCGTTCTGCTCAATAGAGTTTCACAAAATAGAAAAAAAAAAGAATATCTCTGCTTGTAAATGGTATATGAACAATGAGATGAATTTGAAGCTACGCTCATCGAAGCCCATTTTACAAGTTGTTTGACAGCGTGTATGCTAATAACGCGCGAAGAGTCGTGGGTCTGATCCCCATAGTTTAAGGTCATGAAATAATTTTGATAATGACATCTAATTATGCCAAACTATTTAAAGTGGTCAAGGAAAGTTTCGTTCTGCTCAATAGAGTTTCTGCATGCAAAATGAAAAAAAAAGAATATCTCTCGTTTAGTAATCATATTAACGCAATAGTTGTAAAATTTGAAGCGGCCGTATCGAAGGCCCATTAGCCATTGGTTAGAAGACGTCGTGCTAATAACTAAGGCGTCATGAACATTCCCCATGGGCCAAGGTCATGAATATTTCTTGGAATAATGGACATCTAATTATGCCAAACTGATTTGGAAGTGGTCATGACGTGTTACGAAATCGCTCTCAGATGATTGCAATGCAAAATAGTGAAAATAAGAGATATCTCTTCCTTGTACGTGTATTTAACAAATATGTTGTACGAATTTCATGACGCCCACATCGAGGCACATAGCTCAATTGTTAAGAGCGTCGTCTAATAGCGCGAAGGTATGGCATTGCAATCCCCCATGGGCCAAGGTATTTTATGAATTTTTAGATTGATGACATCTAATGGCTGTACCCAATATTTTAGGAAGTGAGCTTCCATGACTGTTTCAGTCGCTCAGAGAGATTCATGATAAAAATACTGATTGTAATGTATATTCCGCTTTGATACGCATGTACGTGCAAACGTTTCAGCGGACATTGTTCCCATAACCTTAGCTCAGTTGGTTGAGCGTCTTTAAAAACGACGGTCATGGTGCGATCCCCCATGGCCAGTATTTTATGATTTTAGGTTAATGACGTCTAATCTAGGCCATACTATTTTAAAGTGACTTCATTGACTATTTCAAACGCTCAATAAAGATTCATGACAAAATAGGAAGAAAAAGATACTCCTTGCAATACGTCGTATATACCGCAATATGTGTATGGAATTGGAGCGGCCTCATCAGAGGCCCATTAGTACATGGATTAGAGCGTCGTGCTAATAGACTTGCGCCGAAGGTCGTGGGTTCCGATTCCCCATGGGGCCAAGGGTCAGTAAATACATTTTGATAATGACACATCTAATTATGCCAAAACTATTTTTAAAGTGAGGCTTCTGCTAGGAAGTTTCTGTTCTGCTCAATAGAGTTTCATGCAAAATAGAAAAAAAAGAATATCTCTGCTTGTAACGTATATTAACGAATATGTTAAAGGAAATTTGAAGTCAGCGCTGATTAGCTCAGTTGGTAGAGCGTCGTGCCTAATAACGAGAAGGTCGTGGGTTCGATTCCTCCCATACGGTAATGTCTTATAATTTTGATAATGCATCTAATTATGTCAAATATTTTAAAGTGGTCTTCAGTAAAGTTTCATCGTCTGCTCATATAGCTTTCAATAAAAAAAAGGATGATATCTCTCTTGTATGCGTATTTAACCGTAAACAATATGTTTACGAAATTTCAAGATCGGCTAGCATCGGAGGCCCATTACTCAGTTGGTTAGAGCGTCGGCTAATAACGCTGAAGGTCGTGGGTTCCATCCCCATGGGCCAAGGTCATAAGGATAATTATTTTGGATAATGACAACAATTATGCAAACTATTTTAAGTGGCTTCAAGTGAAAGTTTCACGTTCTCCAATAGTATTCATGCAAAAAAAAAAAAGAATATCTCTGCTTGTAATGCGTATATTAACGCAATATGTTAACATGGAATTTGAAGCGGCACATGTAGTCCCATTAGTCATTGGTTAGTTGCGTCCTAACACGAAGGTCGGGGGTGCTGATCCCATGGAGCCAAAGGTAATTTATAGATTTTGGAAGAATTATGACTCTAATTCAGGTAACCAACTATTTTAAAGTGTTTCATCTGAAATCTATCTTCATAACGCTCAGATAGATTCAAAACAGAAATATAAAGATCTCTTTGTAGTGAATTTCGCTAATACCGCTATGTTCACGGGTTTCAATACGACTCATCGAGGCACATTAACCTGGTGAGTATAGAGCGTCGATGTACTCACGACTTGAAGTGTGTTCGATCCCACAAATGGGCCAAAGATCAAAATAATTTTTTTGGATAATGATCAGTTCTATGTATGACTAAACTATTTTAAAGTGGCTTTCAAGTAAAGTTTCGCTGCTCATGAAGTTCATAGCAAAATAGAAAAAAAAGAATATCTTCAACTACTGTAATGCTATATTAACGCAATATGTTGTACCTGAATTTAAGTACTGGCCGAGATCGCCATTTGTCAGTTGCGTTATGATCGTGCTAATAACCGCAGGTCATTGGGTTCATCCCCCCATGGGCCAGGTTCGTTTAGTAATCTTGGGGAGATGACATATAATTATGCCAAACTATTTGGAAGTGATGTCAAGAATGTTTCACGTCGCTCAAGAATCCATATAAAATGGTAAAAAAGATTTCTTTTGACTTGTATTTACTGTGAAATTCAGAGATCAAACGACCCCAGGCCCATTAGTCAGTTGGTTAGACGCGTGCTGCAATAACAGAAGCTATTGCGGGGATTAACCCACCTGGGTACAAGACTTATGATTTTGGGTTAATGATACTCTATTGAGCAACTATTTTAAAGGACTTCACTTGACTTTTCGACAACGCTCAATAGTTGATTGGCTGCAATAAGAAAAAAAGAATATCTCTGCTTGTATTAAACATATTAACGCAATATGTTGTACGGAATTTGAAGCTGCCTCATCGAGGCCCATTAGCTCAGTTGGTTAGAGCGTCGTGCTATGCGCGAAGATCGTGGTTCGACCCCCCCATGGGCCAGGTCTTGAAAATTTTTGGATAATGACATCTTATTATGCCAAACTATTTTAAGTGGCTTCAGGAAAGTTTCGTTCTGCTCAATAGAGTTGCATGCAAAATAGAAAAAAAGAAAGAATATCTCTGCTTGTAATGCGTATATTAACGCAATATGTTGTACAAAGATTTGAAGCGGCCACATCTGTCAGGGGCCCATTAATCCAGTTGGTTAAAGCGTCGATGCTAGTATATAACGCAAAGGTCGTGGGCTCGATCCCCAACAGGCCAGGTTCATTTATAATTTTGAATAATGCCATCTAATTATGCCAAACTGGAAGTGGCTTCTCGACAGTTTCACACCGCTCAATATAGATTCAAATACAAAAATAGTGAAAAGATGATGTCTCTTTATGCGTGTATTTCACCGTAAAGTTTCACGGATTTCAATACCGCTACATCGAGGACCATTGGCTCAGTTGGTTAGGCGTCGTGATATGCTTGCGAAGATCGTGGGTTCGATCCCCCCATGGGTCAAGGTCATATATAATTTTGGATGTGACATCTAATTATGCCAAACTATTTGAAGTGGCTTCAGTAAAGTTTTCGTTTCTGCTCAATAGGTTCATGCAAAAAGAATATCTCTGCCTTAAATACGTATATTAACGCAATATGTTGTACCGGAATTTGGAAAGCTTCTTCGTCGGGCCCATTAGCTCAGTTGGATGGGAGCGTCATTCTTCTAATAGCCTTGAAGGTCGTGGAGTTCGATCCCCATGGGCCAAGGCATAAATAATTTTGGATAATGACATCTAATTATTAAACTTTTAAAGTGGCTTCAAGGAAAGTTCGTTCTGCTCCCAATGAGGAGTTTCATGCAAATAGAAAAAAGAATATCTCTGGTTGTAATGCGTATATTAACGCAATATGTTGTACAGATTTGGAAGCGGCCACATCAGGCCCATTAGCTGAGTTGGTTATAGCGTCGTGCAAATAACGCAGAGAGGTCATGGTTCGATCCCCATGTGGGCCAAGGGTGCTGAATAATTTTTTTGGATGTATTGACATCTAGTATGGCAAACTATTTTAAAGTGGCTTCAGGAAAGTTTCGTTCTGCTCAATAGAGTTGCATGCAAAATAGAAAAAAAAGAATATCTCTGCTTATGTGTATGTAACATATTATGTTGTACGGAATTTGAGCAGCCCACATCAGGGTACATTTGCTCAGTTGGTTAGAACGTCGTGCTAATAACGCGAAGGTCGTGGGTTCAGTCCCCATGGGCCAGAATTCATTTATAATTTTAGACTTGAATGACATATAATTATACCAAACTATTTGGAAGTGGCTTCATAGATAAACAAATCGCTCAATAGGGTGTATATAAAATGGTAAAAAGATTTCTCTTTGTACATTAACTTATTTCCGTGCAAAACGTTTCACGGAATATGAAGCGACCCATCAGGCCCATTAGCAGCTCAATTGGTTAAGAGCGTCTTTACTAATACTTTGAAGGTCATGGGTGCGATTCCCATGGGCCAAGGTAATTTATGATTTTGGGTTAATGACGTCTATTAGGCCATACACTATTTTAAGTGACTTCATTGACTATTTCATAGCGCTCAATGAGATTCATGCAAAACAGGAGAAAAAAGATCCCTAATTGTTTGTATAATACCGCAATATGTTGTACGGAATTTGGCTTGTGACCGCATCAGAAATTCATTAGCTCAGTTGGTTAGAGCGTCGTGCTAACACTTGAAGGTCTGGGTTCGATCCCCCCAATTTGCCAAGGTCATAAATAATTTTGGATAATGACATCTAATTATACTTAAACTATTTTAAGTTCCTTCAAAGGAAAGTTTCGTTTCTGCTCAATAGAGTTTCATGCAAAATAGAAAAAAAAGAATATCTGCTTATGTGCGTATATTAACGCAATATGTTATGCAAATTTGGAAGCAGCTTACATCAAGGCCCATTAAGCTCAGTTGGTTAGAGCGTCGTGCTAATAACGCGAAGGTCGTGGGTTCGATCCCCCCATGGGCCAGGTTCATTTATAATTTTTTAATAATGGCATCTAATTATGCCAAACTATTTGTAAGTGGCTTCATCGACAGTTTCACGTCGCTCAGTATAGATTCAAATAAAATAGTGAAAAGATCTCTTTTTTTGCGTGCTTTCTCCGTAAAAGATTTCACCGATTTCCAATGCCGCTACCTCGAGGACCATTAGCTCGGTTGGTTGGCGCGTCGTGCTAATAACGCGAAGGTCGTGGGTTTCGATCCCCATGGGCCAAGATAATTTGGATTTTGGGTTAATGACGTCCTAATTAGAGCCGAGAAAATATTTTAAGTATTTCATCGACTGTTTCATAACGCTCAAGCTAGAGATTCATGCAAAAGTGAAAAATATCTCTGATTGTGTATATTACCGGGACACGTTGCAGATTTGAAGCGGCCACATTGTATCCCGACTCCAGTTGGTTAGGCATCTTACTATCTTTGAAGGTCGTGGAATTTTGAAGGATTCCCCATGGAGCCAAGGTGATTTATGATTTTGGGTTAATGAAACTCTAATTATGCCAAACTATTTTGAAGTGGCTTCCAAGTAAGTTTCGTTCTGCTCAATAGAGTTTCATACAAAAAAAGAATCTCTGCTTGTAATGCGTATATTAACGCAATATGTTATACGGAATTTGAAGCTGCTCGTCGAGGCCATTAGCTCAGTTGGTTAGAGCGTCGTGCTAATAGCGCGAAGGTCGTGGTTTCGATACCCCCAGCATGGGCCAGGTTCGTTTAATTTTTGGGCGAATAACATATAATTATACCAAACTATTTTGAGTGGCTTCATACAGAATGTTTCGTCGCTCAATAAAGATTCATATAAAATGGTAAAGATTTCTCTTTTTTTTTTACGTGTATTTCCGTGCAAAACGTTTCACCCGGAATAAGAAGCATTGACTTATCAGGCCCGGTAGCTCAGTTGGTTGGGCGTCTTGCTAATAACTACACGAAAGGTCATGGGTGCGATTCCCCATGGGCCAAAGGTAATTTATGATTTTTTGGGTTATTCATGACGTCTAATTAGGCCATACTATTTTAAAGTGACTTCATTGACTATTTCATAAAGCTCAATAGAGATTCACGCAAAATAATAAAATATCTCTGTTTGTAATGTGAATATTACCGCAATACGTTGCACGGAATTTGAATTAACTACACCTAGGCCCATTAGCTCAGTTGGTTAGAGCGTCGTGCTAATAACGCGAAGGTCGTGGATTCGATCCCCCCATGGGCCAAGGTCATATATAATTTTTGGATAATGACATCTAATTATGCCAAACTATTTTAAAGTGTCTTCAAGTAAAGTTTCGCTCTGCTCAATAGAGTTTCATGCAAAATAGAAAAAAAATTAACGCAATATGTATACAGAATTTGAAGCTCGCCATTCGAGGGCCATTGCTCAGGTGTAGAGCGTCGTGCTAATAACGCGAAGGTCGTGGGTTCGATCCCCCCATGGGCCAGGTTCGTTTCTAATTTTTTGAGAATGACATATAATTATGCCAAACTATTTGGAAGTGGCTTCATAGAATGTTTCACGTCGCTCAATAGAGATTCATATAAAATGGTAAAAAGATTTCTCTTTGTACGTGTATTTCCGTGCAAAACGTTTCACGGAATATGAAGCGACCCCATCGAGGCCCATTAGCTCAGTTGGTTAGAGCGTCTTGCTAATAACACGAAGGTCGTGGGTGCGATCCACCCATGGGCCAAGGTAATTTATGATTTTGGGTTCATGACGTCTAATTAGGCCGAAATATTCTAAAGTGACTTCATCGACTGTTTCATAACGCTCAATAGAGATTCATGCAAAATAGGAGAAAAAAAGATCCCTAATTGTAATGTGTATATTACCGCGATACGTTGCACGGAATTTGAAGCGGCCACATTGTATCCCATTAGCTCAGTTGGTTAGAGCGTCTTGCTAATAACACGAAGGTCGTGGGTGCGATTCCCCCATGGGCCAAGGTAATTTATGATTTTGGGTTAATGACGTCTAATTAGGCCATACTATTTTAAAGTGACTTCATTGACTATTTCATAACGCTCAATAGAGATTCATGCAAAACAGGAGAAAAAAGATCCCTAATTATAATTTGTATAATACCGCAATATGTTGTACGGAATTTGAAGCGGCCTCATCGAGGCCCATTAGCTCAGTTGGTTAGAGCGTCGTGCTAATAACTGTGATGTCCTGAAAAGAACCCGCAAATTTCCCACGGAAAGAGTGAACGGGCCTCCCAAGTCGCTAGGAGACAGTGGTTGAGAAAGGGACCGACAAAGCCTTCCCCGATTGCGTCATCGCGGAGGGTCTCCGTTTGAAATTCACCGCCATTTGACCGCGAGTGGACACACGGAGCAAGGATGCATTGCGTGCCGCCTATACCAATTGCGATTGAGGAAAAGAAAGACAGTGTTTTACTGCTGTTGAAGGGTCCCACTGCAATAGTGAGTTGAACTTTTGACCCTGCCTAAAAAAAGGGTAAGTCCCAAGGAGGTCCAAACCGAGAGGATGAGGAGGATGGAAGAGATATCGAAGATAGGTTCGTTTGAAGAACTGGGAATTAGATTCTGTGACGAGATTTTTTGAAAAGCAGTTCTATACGAGAAGTTAAGCAATGCTCACTGTTAACCTAAGCTTGACCGCGGCTGTATATCGTTTTGTCTCGAGTGAGTAGTTCTAGAAACTTTCTGATATGTTCCCGTGAGAGGCTATTCACAGAAATTGAGCATTTTCCCTCAGATCATTACTTCTGACCTTAATGCCTAGAGGTAGAACCGCTTAGAACCTTGGGTTATACCTCGAGGATCTCATGAAATCTGCGAACTGAATTTATTTGAATTCTGACGGCTCCAATGCTAATTCTGTCCAAGGAGTTGTGTACTTGATACACTTGTATAAAGTGCAAAAGTAAATTAACCAGATTTTGGCATTAAATATTAATATCTTAATATGGTTGCTCTGTCTGGTGAGTTCCTTATAGTTTTAGCACGCTGAGCTGGATCCTACAGCTATATATAATTATGGCAGTGGGTATAGATCAACAGCCACTTCCCGTAGAGTAAGTATGAAAAAGCTCACGCATTACTCCATGCTTTAAAGAAGCAGAAAAGTGTGACATTTGTGCTTAAATATCTGAAAGGTGCAGACATCCAACAGTTTGAGTGACCAGGAAGCGTGTGGACAGCCTGTTGACTGCTAACCGGAGCCGTTTTTGCCGACTAGAAACCGAGAGCCGCCCTTTAAGCACCACAGCAATACGAAACCGAACGAAGCATTAA